GGCCGAGCAGGGCCCGGTCCTGACCCTTGCTCGGCACTGAGTCGGGCTCGACCCACGGCCCAGCCCGTGATTCTCCCGCCTTCGATCAACGATGCTCCTCGGGCCTTGCAACCCTGAATTAGGGCTCCGCTAAGGAAGCTTCTGGAATCATTCTCACGGCTATTATAGCAGTAAGGTCTAACCCTGAAAAGGCAAGTGACATTTTCTAGTTCACTACTCTCTCAACTTTCCCTTGCTAACTTAGGCATCGGAGCCCGTGTGTCTAAGGTCACACCGGTTTAGATCGATTTGATTTGTAGGTATCAGTCCCCGAATCATCGAGTTAGGTGTGTGCAAGGAGGAGAATCGGAGGATCGACATTCACACATCAACAGGAGATATTAATTCTTTGACCAATTTTTTGGTTAAAACATTTGGTGTCGTCTGTAGGAATGAGAGAGTCTTTAAATTACCGCAGCATTTAAAAGAAAAATATGTTCCTTTTCTCATCTCTTAAGAAATTCTTAGGTATGGCTAACAACATTTAACAACAATCAAGTGTTGATGGCAGTCAGGCCTTGACTGGCTCTAGAGCATGGAGAAGATGACGGCCGCTTCTAAATCGAAGGAGAAGTGGAGCTGCCAAGTGTTGAAAGTTAAGCAATTTGTAATTTCAAAGTTATGCTTAATGTATGTTGTATTTCCAATAAGTCCTTTTAAGTTCTTCTAAGTGACTTCTTAGAACATGGAATGATGTTATGTAAATTCCTAGATAGCTATTACCTAGGACATCAAATATAGATCTTTCTAGAGCTCTTCCTAACACCTATAAATCACCCTTTATAAACATCTCAAACAATCAAGCTCCAATTGAGCAAAGTGTCAAAACACACAATAGAAGAAGTTTCTCTCCCTTCCAAGTTTTCTCCCACTTTCTTTCATTTGCCTCCAACAAATTTGGTATAAGAGCCATCCTAAAATTAGACATGACTTCTAGTTGTGTTCCAAATATGTTTACTCTCTCAACGAACCAAGTTCCGGTCTTTGATGGAGAGCACTATGAATATTGACAAAGTCAAATGGAGACAATTTTTATTTCTCAAGATCTTTGAGAAATTGTTGAAGAAGACTATGAAGATGAAGACGATTCGGAGATGATACCAGAACACGAGAAGGAGTTTAAGAATAACAAAAAGTGAAATGCTTTAGCTCTTCGTCTCATTCAGCAAGATGTTAGAAAGTTCATTTTGTCTCGAATTTTTGGTATTAGAAAAGCTAAACATGCTTGAAAAATTTTGCAAAAGGAATTTTAGGGATATGAAAAAAATTATCTTTATCAAGTTGCAATCCTTATGGAGAGATTTTGACAACTTGACGATGAAGAAAAGTGAAAACATTTGATAATTCTTTTATCGAGTTGCGGAAATTATTAACCAAATGAAGAACTATGGAGAGACAATTCCAGAAAGGATAGTCAAAAAGTTCTACAAAGTCTTCCTCTAAAATTTAATCATGTTTTTGCAGCAATCGAAGAGTCCAAAGATTTATCTAAATTGACATTATTTGAACTAATTAATGAGATCACTTCAAGCTCACAAAGAAAGATTGAACAAGTCTCCAAGCCAATAAGTATGAAATTAATCGAAATGAGAATTTTGTTAATTACAAATACATTATTTTATTATTTACCATGAATTTTGTTTACTTAGCATGAATCAGAATGAAAATGAATTGAAATGGAATCAATCAGAATGAGAATTTTTCTTATTTAGAAATGTTATGAAATCAGAATTAGAATTGTTTTGATTTTGTCTACTAATAGTATACCTATTTCTTCTTTTTTGTTAATTATAAATACATTATTGTGTTAATTTTTTTTAATTAAAATAATAATAAATTTTAATTTATTTTATTACTRCATTATTGATAGTAAATCTTTTTTATTATAATATTTTATTTTATATTAATAAATAATGAATGATGAAAATAAAATATTTTAATGTAGAATATTTTTAAATTCTATTATTCTAATATTTAGCAACAATGAATTATATTTTAAAAATTTTACTGATATTAATTAATAATTTTTTAGTACAAAAATATTAATTAATAATAATAGAGTAAAATTAAAAAAATTATATAAATTAATAAAATTATATAATAAAATCACATCCGCTAATAAAAGTTGTATACATTTTTTTAGAAGAAAAATTATTAGTAGTGTAAATGAAAAAGAAATAATCAAAATATAAAATAATTATTTTAAAAAGTAATGTGTCTCATTAATATAAATTTAAGAGAGAAATGGTAAAAGTAGTAAAGTAATTGATCAAGGCTGAATTCGACTAGAAGACACGTCATCATCAAGTTAACCATTTAACTTTATGCGTGACTCCCACGAAGAAAGTTCAGAAACGATGAATGTTGAACTTCTGAACTTGAACAACTCTAAAGCACAGTTACCGAACTAATCACGCTAACGTTTGAATGGTAACTACTTAACTGTATTCTCGTCTCATAGTGTATCACACACTTAAAATCACGAAGGTAACCGTTGAGTTGGGCACACAACTCTGACGGTTATTTCTCCTTTCAAATAAATATCTAGAAAGTGAAAGAAGGTATGCAAACTTTTTTATTTGATATTTTATTCTCTAGAATTCAGTGCTGACAAAAGCTTTGGAGTGCTAATTCCTTATTTTGCAGGATCGTCAATCATCTTCAAGTGTTCTTGGAGATATTAATTCTTTGACCGATTTTTTGGTTAAAACATTTGTCGTCGTATTTGAGAATGAGAGAGTTTTTGAATTACCAGTCAGTGGCGGATCTAGAATTTCAAGTTAGGTGGCACAAATGTAAATAAACATAATGAAAAATCATTAACTTAGTAATGTGCATCAATTTCCACCTTACATTTAGATAAGTGTGAAATTATTTGCACCTGTGTCGCAAATTTTACAATTCGGTAAATTTTAAGTTGAAAATTTGTTGAAAACAATATTCTCATGTGTCAAATGAGTTAAAAAAATTTATGAAAAAATTGATAGGATCCAGACAAAGATCGTAATATAGTATTTTTTTTTTTAATTTAACTTATTGGTAAGTTTTCACAAAGTTATTTAATAGTAGATTTTGTATATTAATCGAACTTCATTATAAAAACTTGATTTTATAATGAGAGAGAGAGGAAATATGACGAGAGAGAAACCGGTAAAAGAAGAAAAAAAATTATAAAAAATCGTTGGATGTAAAACTTAAACCTACAAACCATAAGACTAGAGATATTAATTAAGCAGAAAATGACTATGCTATAATGTTGATGCAAAATTCTGACGAGCTGTCGAGGTCGACCACGTGGCAACTGGCCGAGCTGATGAGGTGCGAGTTCATGTAAGATAGGACATGCAAAAAGAAAGTAAACACTCCGACGCTCAAGTCAGTATAGGTGCGAGCTCAAATAGGCAATTCTAGCAAGCTCATAAGCTCATCTATGGCTGAGCTCCTAAGTTCACCTATGGTTGAGCTCCTTAGTCACCTATTGCCAAACTCCTAAGCTCACTTATGGCCGCACTCCTTAACTCAACTATGGCCGAGCTCCTAAACTCACCGATGACCGAGTTTGAGCTACTAAGCTCATCCATAGCGACCTCAATCATTACCGACCTATGGCCCGACATTTAACCGCCTTGTCGTAACGGCCATAACAGACGTGTCCTTTCACTTCGCCTATAAAATGATCTTGATTCCTCTTACTCATGTATACAATTCTACTCTGAGAATGACCTATTTGAACTCGCACCTATACTGACTTGAGCGTCGGAGTGTTTACTTTCTTTTTGTAGGTCCTACCTTGCATGAGCTCGTACCTCGTCAGCTCAGCCAGTTGCCACGTGCCCGACCTTGGCACGACCTTGGCAGCTCGGCATAATTTTGAATTAACACTATGAAATCGTCTTTACACATGTTTTATTTTCCACAGGATACAACAATATTTTTATTATTATCGAATGACTTGCCAAAATTTGGAAAAAAGCCTTTTGCTATTCGATTCATAATAATTTTGATGGTAAACATTATCAAAATATAGATGTCCAAAAGAAAAATGTCTTAATTGCCCTGTCAAAATTTTCCATTTCTTTAGTGTCCCGAGGTGTCAAATTGACTCATGTCCAAGTGCGTAATTTTTAATGTCCAATATATCTTTTTCTATATATTATTAGTGTTCAATTGTAATATCCTGTAAATTACCTATAAAAAGTGGCAATACATAGATCATTTGATATTAATGTACCTGGACTCTTTTCTTCATTTAATAAGCAACCCAGAAATAAAGGTAAATATTACTTTGAAAGTTTGGAATTTCGAATTCCCATTTACTAAAAAAAATTAACTAATTTAATAAAAATCTAGATCATTTTTGCAAATTAAACTTGACTATTAAATAAATCTAAAAAAAATTGGTGGAAAAATCTATATTGAAATTATAAGCAAAAATTTGCATTTTCAAATTTATATTTTAGTTTTATATTTTTATTTTTGTATTTTTGTCAAATTTSGTATTCTCCCGTTGTTCATGTACTCGTGGTGCCTCATTTTGCTCCTCAATTTTACAAGAGGATCATCTTTTTTAATTTTTAAAATTGAAAAAAAAAACCTTTTTGTTTTTCAATCAAATAATTTATATTACAATTATAGATTATTTCATTAATTAATATCTATTTCCATGCATACAAAACAGTATAAAACTAAATCATGTTGTACTTCTGTTTAGCTATTTTAATCACGCCACTTAATTAAAGCTACTCATCTTTATTTTCTATATAACCAAACGAAACCAAAGTTTCACATACATTTCACATCATTAATTATGTATATATAGACCCAACATTACAACTACCAATGAGCACATCATCTCACTGTTACAATAAAGACAAATTTAACAATGGAAAAATTTCAGATATATGAAATAGGAATCGATCATCCAGGCTTTTAAAAAGAAAAAGCTCCAAAACGACCACGTATCATGTAGGACATGACATCAAGTTACGTGCGGCTCACCAAAAATTGAGATACTTGTTAGTAATCTCAATTGTCTAAATCGAAACAATCCTTATCTAGTGATGAATTCAGTTCAACTCAACTCAACCATTGAATATTTAGGTCGAGTTGACTCGAATAATTCGAGTATGAACACACCCCGCACTAAACATTAACGAAAGTTGACATTGGTTTTGTAGGTCAATCCAAACCTCCAACTAGAAGGGGCAACATTCCAAGCCGTGATTGTCTCTTTGGTTGTGTAAGAAGTGACTCTAAAAGAGAGAGTTTGGCCAACCAAAGTTGAAAAAGCTTGATACGAAGCTCCCCAATTATGGCTCATCTTGATCCACCCCATCTTGCTCCCTTTCACCCACATCCCCGACACGTCGCCTCCGCCGCCGACGTTCATCACGTACACCMAAAGCCAGTACCCGTTTCCTTGGAACGTGAACCGAAGGCCACCCTGTCGACCGCAAGCCACCCGTCGGTATGTGACGGGGACAATGCCAGCCTTCCAGTTGGCGATCTTCATGAAGGCGGGTTTCGACATGTCGAAGTGAACTCTCGGAGGATTGCACCAACCGCCGTTGTCGGACGGCTTCGCCCAATTGGGAGGGCAGAGGTTGGTGGCCGTCACGGTGGTGTAGGGAACATTGGCGTAGCATGCTTTGGATTGCATGCATTTGATTTGAAAGCATGCTCCACAAGCGTAGCCGTTGATGAAGAGTGTGGAGCTCAGCGCCGCCGTGGCCACGCCGTAGCCGTTCGTGAACAAGTTTCCATACCCACATGCTCCTCCTAAAATGCAAAACCACACACCATTAACATTACAAATTATTAAAGCTCGTTTGGTAACGTTTTTTTTTATTACTTCTAATTTTTTTAGAAACATAAATATTTTGTAATTGATGTTTCTAATTTATTAAAAATATTATTAAAATTGTGTAGAAATTTTAGAAACAATAAAATCAAGTTTCTTGTTTCCTACCCGTTTTCAATTCTCCCAAAAAATATATAAATATAAATTTTTTTTTTTCATTTTTGAATTATAAAATGCAAAAATATAACATAAAAAGATTTGAATATTAATTTAAAAAGTTAAATCACATATAAAACTTTTACCTTTTTTGTTTAAAATTTTAAAGAAACAAGAAATGATTACGGAATAGTTTTTTTTTACCATAAATGAAAATAAAGAATAAAAAAAAAACAGTTAAGAAATGTAGTTATGTTATTCTTGGTGAAAAAGAGGAAAGCTGGAAGATTTTTAATAAATAAAAATAGAATTATATTTGGTTGACTTTTTCTTGTTTGTTTGTTGTTCTTTATTCTTTAATAAAAAAAAAGTTTGGTAATCCTTCTTGTTTTTCATTTTTCAAAAATTTTAAATTAAAAAGTACATGTTTATATGAAAATTAATTTTTAAAATTAAATATTCTAAACTATTATGTTATATTTATTTTTAAAAAATATCATTTATTATGAATTTTATAAGTAATGAATGATAAATAATGTCTTTATTTAATTTAGAAACAAGAACAACAATAAAAATACTTGATTAGGTTGTTTCCAAAATTCCTGCACATGATTTAGATAAAATTCTTAAAAATGAGAAATGAAAAACATAAATTTCCAAAAAATTGAAAACAGACAAAAAAAAAAAAAGTTATTAATGAGCCTAAATGTTTGAATTGAATTGTAATATTATATATGTATATATTTTCTTTACGTACCCATTGTTTCAGATGCTGTCTCATCGCCATAGAAGGTGGCATGGGCGAGCTTCCAAGGGCTTGCTTGAAAGATGGCGAGCACCGGTTTCGTGGTCATCCCCGACATCGTAAACGACAAGAAAAAGACAACGAAGACGAAGCTCCGACGAGGGAAGTGGAAAGCCATTGCTTTGCTTGTGTGGGGGTATTAATCAAGCTCTATGCTAGCTTTTTGGGGAGCTTCTAATTAACTTATGAAATGTCTGTGCCTTTGATTTCTAAAGTTTGTTCCTTTTTATAGAGTATGAAAAGAGATTCAAATTTATACAAAATTTCGTGACCCTCACTAACAAGCATCAGCTTCATAAGTCAAAGTCAACTAATCTTGTGTTTTTCTTTGTTTTTTTTTTCCCTTTTGTTTTGGTCTTTTTTTGTTCTTTTTTCTTTTTTTATTATTATTTTTATTTTTTATGTTCAAAAGTCAAATAATGTTTGGGGGTTGTTTGAAATTGGATGTACTTAGTGCATTTTTATGGTTATTTTGGCACCCGAGGGGACGTACGGATAATATGCTAAATTGTTTAATAGTTTCTCATAATTATTGGAGGAGATACAATAATGGTTGAAATATTTATGATTAATTTAAGTAATTGTCTTCTTAAATTACTCATTTTTTATCTCAAATTTGGTTATAATATGTAATATTGAGAATTAAAGAAGTAAATAATATGAAATTGGTGATACATGTTTTATTAATTCACGATCATTCGAATTAACTCCATCTAGCTCGAGCTCGTTGCTTCAAAGAAATTTCCCCTTTGATTGTGTAAACGAGAACAATGTGGTATAATGAAATCAGTTACTTTGCATTTGAATAGAAATTAAGTGGTAGCACATAATTTTTTTATAATTATTAATTATATGTTTTTTGTTAATTAAATATTTGAATTGAAGAATTTTAYGTAAATAATCAATATATGTATAATCTTAATATCACACACATATACACACAATTTTCTTTTATATTTTTCTTTAAATAAATTATTAGAGCATCAACATTAGAGATGGACTTCTATGCCCATTTAAATATATTTTTTTATTTGACTTATCAATTAAAAAGTCAGTTTTAAATGTTTTTATTTCATATCATATACTTTTATTTTTAAATGATAACAAAAATTAGAAAAATCAATTCTTTGCGGAGAGTCAACTACTTCAATATTTTTTTTCAAAAAAAAAAAGCTATTTCAGTTTTAATAATGTGTTACAAGAATATTTGATGTTATAATCACCGACTGTTTTTTTTTTAATTTTTTTTGTCAAAATATTATTTTTGAAAATAATGAAATTATATAGGCTTAACCTTGTTTGTGTTTATTCCATTTTAATCCTGCTTCTTACAAACATTGTATTTTAGTTCTAGAATTTTGCATTAATCTTAATTTTAGCCTTTGCCAATAATTTGTTTATAAATTATTTACAAAATTCTAACATAGATATATCTTTTATGTTCATTAATTTGACGAACAAATATATTTGTTGAAAAATATTTGAAGTTATGTAAAGTCACAAGTGTGTACAGTTTTGAAATAAATTTAAATATTTTTGTTAAATATTTAATATCTTTTTTAGGCAAGTTGAAGAACTAAAGCATAAGATTTAAAATTTTAAATGATTAAAGTAAAATACTTAAAAATTTGAAGGTTAGAACAGAATTTAAATTAATTTCATATTATGGGTTAGGGGATTTAAGCTGCTTAATAAATATATAAATAATAATAATTTTGTTGTTGGTCGGTCCATTGATCATTATTGTTTTTTATAAAGTACTACGTGCTATCAAGTATGTCCCAAAGGCCAAAAGGTCCATTTTATGGGAGAGCTTGAAACGGATTAAAATTATATATGATGCATGATAACTGCCATAAATTTATCAGCATAGTACTCAAAAACAAAAATAAAATAATTAAAAAAATAAAAACTAGCAGCATAGTCAGCGCTTTCATAGTTTTTTTTAAAAATTATTACTATTATGTGTCGAATCCCTTCGTCGAGTGGACAAGACTTGTAAGTCGAGGCATAACGTGAGAGATTTCGTACTATCATCTCGAGCTAATGAGAAGGCTTGCTCTCGAATGCACAAAACACATGATCCATCTTCGATGTATGAAGTTCAAAGATTCATATGGAGACTAAGCTGAGGAAGATTAATATGAGGAAAACGTCATGTCTAATATGCTGTCCCACCAGCAGTAGTTGGCATATATCTTTAATATCCACATAATTACGTGATCTTTATGATTGACTACTGATGGTAGGATATAATCATGGCTCTATATCTTTAATATCCATGTAATCACGTGATCTTTAGGTCGCTGATCATAGGATAATCATGGCCCTAGACATCATGCTTATCCTACCTCATATTGTTGAAGTTTGAAAGATATGGATGTGTGTTGCGCCTTAACTTAATAGCTAGAAGGTAAGTGCAAGTGTATACTGTCACAAGTAATAATCTGGAAATGTTCCACGTTCGTCTCCACAAGGACTAATTTTCTTTTAAAATTGATTTTGCAAATTGCTTGAATGAGCAATCGGGTTTGGGATAAAAATTGGTGAATATGTTGGGATACACAATTTAAAAACACAAATATTAAAAAACTAACCCTTTACTAAGATTTAGTTCTAAAAGATGAATTACACCTATCAAGTGTGCCCGTAATTAAACTCAATTTATGCAAACTAGTTCAACTTCTATTTCATACCGCTTTTGGTTTGTTTAGAAGCTTAGGCTAGTGTTTACATATGTCTATGCAACTCTAGAATCCTAAATAAATCAAGTTCCAACTTACGTTTAACGGGTAAGAGAGCCTATGTTTAAGATCTTGTTTTAGTTCTTATTTCTAAGTAACTTCCCGTTTTACCTTTATGAGATTCGTTTGACTCTAACCTTTTCAGAATTAAACTCAAACTAATATGATTTAAACAAGTAGCCAACAAGAAATTAACTGGATGAATTAGATCAATCAAGATAAGCAAAAGATAGCGTAATACGCCGTGCTCACTGATAAACAATTTAGAACTACTCATGGAAATGAAAGAAATGAAAGCACAAGAGAAGATAACAAAAGAATGCATTTTAATTAGAAATGGAAAGAAAGTACAAAATGGAAAAAGTTGAATTGCAATAAATAAACAAAGAAAAATTGTAGAAAAATTAATTGAAGAACAAAACTTAAATAAAAACTCAAAAACTAAACTTGATATCCAAGTAGAAAGGAAAGAACTAAAGCATGGAAAAAATGAGATGATTTGAAGTGGTGTTTGGAAGCTCATTTTATAGGTCATGGAGGTAACAAGATGTTGAGAAATGCATGGGAGATTGGAATCAAATGAGATTGTAGAGATTTTAGGAACTAATAACAAATCTTGGACCAATTACTTGGTCAAAAGTTGTTATTCCCATTTTGACAATCTAGGCATCGAATGTGGCTGAAGCATTGTAAAGCTGGAACTTTCAAAGTAACTTGGCTGACTCATTCTTCTAACTTACTTGGCTGACTCATTCCTCTAGTAAGTTAGAAATTCTAGTACTGCAATGTGCCTGACGCATTTTGATTATCAATCTTCACTTTTCCTTACAAAATAAGCATATTTACACAAATTAGCCTTCATTTACCTATAACTGAATTCCAAAGTTCCTAATCACAAATTATGCACATTTTCCCTAAATTATATGCATGAAAATACATTTTTCATCCCAAATAATCGTCAACTGAGCATGCAAACCTACCCTTTTTAGCCTTAAATCAAGTCTTATCGATGTGGTTTATGTTTATTGTTGGAGTTTGAAACTTATGAATATGAAGTTTGTTATATAGTTGTTGAGAGGAGACTTTTAAATGCGAATTTTGTTGAAGTTTAAACTTTTGGATGTGTTTGGTGTTTTATTGTTGAAGTTTGAAAGATATGGATGTGGCTTAAGTTTATTATCGGAGCTTGAAACTTATGAAGATGAAGTTTGTTATTTGTTATATAGTTGTTGGGGGCTTTTGAATGCGAATTCAGTTGGAGTTTAAACTCTTGGATTTATTTGATGTTTTATATTGTTGAAATTTGAAAGATATGAATGTGGCTTATGTTTATTTTTGGAGCTTGAAACTTGTGAATATGAGGTGTGTTATATAGTTATTAGAACGTTGTTAAGTTTGTTGTTGGAGCTTGAATATAAATATGTATTTATGAATGTGTTTATGTAGTTTGTTATATTACATATTATTATTTTGATTTTTAATGTATTTTTAAGGTAAAAAAACATTGATTACATGAAATTATTTGTGCAGGATTGAAATATATAATGGCTAACGATCATAAACTTGTCGCTATTATTGTATTAGATCAATGTGAAAAAAACTTATATTTTGACACATGACATATGTTTTGCTTTTCAAGTTTGGATATCATGTATTTACACTATGTTTAATTTTAAAGTTTAATGTGATTTATCATTTCTATTATCATTTATCGTATTTTTTAGAATGGTAGGAAATATATTCATACTAAGTAGATAATATTGAAGTTTGGTTTTATTTAGCGGCGAAATAATGAAAACGTTGCTGTATTTAGTGATGAAATCGCACAATGTCACAATAAAAAAACACATACAAGTAAAAAAAAACACACTTTGGGCATAGCTCTCACGACTTTGCTTTTGGTTCCACCCAAAAAACCTCATACCAATGGAGATAATTGTCCTCTTTTATATACCCATGATCATTCTCTTCCCTAACAAATGTGAGATTTTGTTTGCACTCTTTACAAACCCAACACCTTTTACGTGACGCGCTTAGCAACGATCCGCTAGCTTTTCGTCGCTGACAATATTTTCGTCGCTAAAGCTCATTTTCCTTGTAGTTGGTGGAAGTCTAGAAGATGATCAACAAAGTAAGCACACTCAACTAAAGTTTACACTCACATTCCCAATAATCACCTTAACTTGATCGTTAGAGTGCACTGGGCATACACCACACTTGTGCACAACAACTCCTTAATTAAATTATGTGTATGAACTAGATGTGGCGATATTATATTATACATATACATATACACATCTACATATGTATATGTATAAATTTATATTGTACTCAAATGAATGGTATTAATGTAACAGCATGCATTGCCGCTGCCAGTATTTAAGTACAGTGCCATTTCACAACTGTTTATTTTTCAAGGAACTAAAACTCGTAGAAATCGGAAGTTTCTCCAGTCCAAATTGAAGAAAGTCGAGACGAAGGTCTACAAATCTGTAACAACGGGAATTTAAATCATCGCTGTGTTGTCTTCTAACGGTAAGTTTCTCCTTGATCTCTGCCATTTGAGGATTTTGTTTTTCATTGAAAATTCAAATTTCAATTTCTCTCATCAGTCGACTATTTTTTGTTTTCTTTGATCGCTGTATGGTATGTTCCCATATTTAATTTAGAAACAGATGAACATAAAGAAATTGATGAAAACTGATAAACAAGATTCTAGGGTGTTTCGTTTCGTTTTGTTTTGTTTTTTTTTTTTGTCAAAGCTTGATTATTGCTGGAAATTTATCACCCTTTCTTTTAACCTATGTTGTGAACAGATGATGAAATGATCAAATGGGAAATTTCGTAATAGGAATTGGACATCTAGAATTTCATTATGTAAATTTTTCTGTTCTTTTTTTCCCGTGGAACATCTGTTTTTGAGATTGCTAAGGAATGATCTGAACGTCAGGAAAGAATTTCATTGCATCCCTCTATGAAAACTGAGAAGGAAAATTTAAGAAAAGTGGAAGAATTAGCGCAATCGTCATGCCTAATTGGATGATTTTAGTTGAATTTATGTTGTTAATTCTCTGTAACTTGAGTTCATATGCTTTTGTTAACGGGTTAACATTTAGAAAGCAAACTTTCCATCGCTATAATTTTGTACTTAATTCCATCTTCTCATTCGCAGAATAGAATTTACAGCTCTGCAGTATCAACAACAATGGAAATGGGATTGCAAAATGGTGGTCTTATTCAGGATGAGAATCATAATGTTCACTATAATGGTTGGAACTCAAAGCTTTCTGTCTAACAGTAGTTTGGTTCGTTCTTAACCTATTTGGTTGATCTGATCTGGTTTTAAATTTGTATCGTTTGCATCACAGGATCCTCTGCTACAGGGAAGGCAAATGCCATCAATTTGTTAAGAAAAATTCAAGAAAGCCAGTCTTAAACCAGTCATCGAAATGGCAGACCCCAAAGAATATCAAGTTTATTGATGAAGAAACTGGCGCAGGCAAAAAGATATTTCAAACTCTGGGAAGCCGCCAAACCTTCACGAGGCCTCAAAGAAGAAGCAGAACTTAGAAGTTGAGCACCGTTAGGGAAAACTCTCCTCATCACAATGCTATTTGTGAGGAACCATTTCTACACGACCCTCGAGAATGCATTAAAGTACAAAATTACTCTATGGACAAGGATCAATTTCTGAGCATCGTTGGACTTGGTATGGTAGTAAAGTTGACGGCATCTACTTGAAAATTACCCTTTTATTTGATGTTTCTTGAAACCTTTACTCATTATCTTTTATTTTCTTCTTGTCATTTAGATCTCCCCAAAGAGTTGACATCCCCTAAAAAGGTCAGTTTCCTCCATAATGAACATTGGTTGGTTGAACAAGTGATTGATAGGGAAGGCTCTCAAGCTCTCTATCACCTCCATAGATCCATGACCCGGGTGATGTTTTTGGTGTTGGATCATTGGAAACTTGAATTTGTTTGCCATTTTACCACATAAATACAAGGCTAGCTAAGAATATGTCCCRAAGAACCTTGTAGGTGTAATTGTAAACGGCGTCGCCATTTCGCTCGTGACGATGCCCAAAAGGATCAGAACATCACAAACTAAGACGAGATAACTGCGCCAAGGAGCAGCCAATTGTTTGGTCCAAGAGCCTCTGATATTGGTGAGTCTAATGGGTCTGGCTTAAACCATATTGTGTTTATGAGGATTTCAACATTTGTTTGAGGCTGTTCTTTCTCTCTGGTGATGTATGCTTCAATTTGTAACGGTACATTTGAAAATTCTGTTTGTATGCTAGATAGTGGAAGCAACAGATCCAACATGGTGAAATCAATGGAGTTCTTGAAGGCACAGACAAGCCGAATCTGTGGTTTCCTGCTTCAGACAATCATTTAATGAAGGGAGTCATATTAGGTGAAAAATAAATGTTATCCAAATTTTTATTCTCAACTTTAAAATCCAATCCACCCGCCAAATATATATTACATAAATTCACGGTACATTTACAAATATCACAAAAATATTTAGTAAAATAAGCAAAATAGCAACCATTTCAAATAAAACATTTTTCTCAACAAAAAAACGGATCGTAGGTCCAATTTTAAAATTACAATCTTACCCTACAATATATCTGATATACATTGTAATATATCTACAATATWTCYAACTACTAATATATGTCTTTGATATATCACTGATATAATAATGATATACAATTGATTTACTTTTGATATAACTATGACATCTATTGAACTTCTAACATGACTTACCACTRATATACGTATGATAACCATTGATTTACCATGCCGATACAACATTTCTATATATGTGATATATACTTGATATATCTCTAATTTACTATCAATATACAAATGATATACCACCGATATAACTATGATATCTACTGATATAATTTCTTATATATGATTATACGATTTACCACTAATATACCCCTCATATAATTATATTATATTAGGTGGAAAATAAATTTTATCCAGATTTTTATTCCAAGTTTAAAATCCTCTAGCCAAATACATATTACATAAATTTATTGCCATCCGAAAATAATTTACAAATTAAGTCATATATTATCGATTAAAATATCAAATATTTGAATTTTCTCTCGGACTCAAGGGAAAATAAACTCATATTTTCCAACCAAAATATTCTCCAAATGTGATGCAATATTGTAAGTGAATAAATTAAAACTTTAACCAACCTAGAGAAATCTGACAGCCATTACATTGAATTAGTGAGAAACCGAGGGCGATCTATTTTCTGGTCCATTTGCCCTTAAAAAGAGGATTTTTTTTTAAATAATTACTTTTTAAAAACAAATGACAAAAGTAGGGTAGGATCAAAACGTATTCCAAAAATAGGGTAGGTAAATCGCGGTCGTTGGCCGCGATTTCAAGAAATTGCGGCCGTTGTGCG